CTGTAGGGACTGTTCTGTTCGTACTAATCAGGAAAAAATTAAGATGAGAAACATCTACCTTTTTCCCCCAATAATTAATGAAAAACTGAATTTCCTCAAAATGACATGAGTATTAATGGTGAATATAAAGTGAATTTCTGTTCCTCATGAAAGGTAACTACATACATTTATAATTAGGTTATCAGAGGAAATGGAAAAAACACAACAACCTAACTCTCCATAAATAACATGTACTGAATGGAAATCCTGCAATGTGTTTTAATATCCTATCTACTTTTATTGGAATCTGCAACATCTATTCTTGGCAAAGTTTGCCTGCTCTTTTAGCATCTCCCCAAGCTTACATAACACTCCTGCAGTGCCATGGTAAATACTCTGGTTCAGCCAGCAAACTGGAGCAATAACTCATAGCAAACATGATTAAACATGTACAAGTGTTACTTGCTGTGCATGGATCTTGAGTAGATAGCTTGGGCAGCAATGAAAAAACAGAACTTGTACAAAGAAAAAAAATATGTCAGAAATCACTACCTACTTCCCCACTGTGTGTGATGGGGTAAGGATACAAAGGCAGAACTGTGAGAGTGGTGGGGAATTCAAACGCTTAGGAGAGTGAGGACAAAGTGAAAGTTCCACTGTTAAATGATCGAGTGATACAAGGGCTGAACAGTGAGAGAGGAGAACAGTGCAAATAGCTGAACAGTGAGACAATAGAATTCAGTTCATCTCTTAATCCTTCTAGTCCACCATAGAAAGGATCATTGTTCAATCTCTTTTAAGTAGATCTTGATACTAATAAGTTAAGGCTCTATTCACCCTTGTGGAGATTTTTTCAACAGGTCCTTAAGGAGCGATTTTCATGTTAAAACTTTCAATCACATTTCACCCCTTTGGAGATTTTGTTCATCTCTTCTACAGGGAAAGTTTTGTTTGTTACTTCTTTCACTCTCAGTTTGCAACAGTGAACATTTTGTTCTACTCTTCGTAAGGGAAAGAGAGACTTAGAACATCATATAATCCTTTAGAACACTTACTGCTGATGGGTTAAGAATAGGTACCCAAAGCAAGGGAGACTAATACAAGTTTTCCCACCTCTGATTTGAAACTATATATTTTCTGTATCATATCCAAGGTGGGAGTTTGTTATTTGGCTGTTTTGCTGTTTATTAAAAGATACCAATCATACAGCCCCAAATTCTGAACTGGAGGTAAAATATCCATATGTAAATATTGTTTCTTTATCTTCAATGCTTTGTGTGAATATGACATACTTGTAAGAATGATTGCTTCGACAATACAAAAAAAAACATCCCCAAAACCAAGAACTGTACAGTAAATCTACTTTATATCACCTGTTAATTGAAAAACATTATACATTGTATTAATGGAAACATGACAATATCAGATGTCTTTTTCTGATGGTTCCTTCTTAGCTGTCAAAACCAGAAAGTGATCATATTAAAATGCCTAAGTGATGTGATTCTACAAAGTTTAATTCATTTTGTAACTGACTATGTTTTTCCTTTATTTACAGAGTATGGTTTCTCTGCGAACTGGCCAGCTGTTTTACAAAGTCATCTGATTATAAATTAAGATAGACATGAAGCTTTCTACACCATAGGGTGTGGACAGACACTGTACCCAGAACACTGCTGAGAAATCTGTCCAGGAGGGAAGAAATATCATTGGGTGGTTACCCAGTCCATGTTAATGTCAATCTATCGGCCAATTATTGTTTTACTTCCTTGATCTTTTATTAGATCCTTTGTTAAACTTTAGAGTACTCAAATCCTCATATATGTATCTATGAAGAGAATAGATAAAAGGTGATATAATGGTTGGTAACATAAAGACAAAGGTTGCAGAGGTCATACAATGGTTGCTAACATAAAGTCAAAGGTTGCATAGGTCATACAATGGTTGCTAACATAATGTTAAACGTTGCAGAGGTCATACAATGGTTAGTAACATAAAGAAAACGGCTGAAAAGGTCATACAATGGTTGCTAACATAAAGTTAAAGGTTGCAGAGGTCATACAATTGTTGCTAACGTAAAGTTAAAGGTTGCAGAGGTCATACAATGGTTAGTAACATAAAGAAAACGGCTGAAAAGGTCATACAATGGTTGCTAACATAATGTTAAACGTTGCAGAGGTCATACAATGGTTAGTAACATAAAGAAAACGGCTGAAAAGGTCATACAATGGTTGCTAACATAAAGTCAAGGGTTGCAGAGGTCATAAAATGGTTGCTAACATAAAGTCAAAGGTTGCAGAGGACATACAATGGTCGCTAACATAAAGTCAAAGGTTGCAGAGGACATACAATGGTCGCTAACATAAAGTCAAAGGTTGCAGAGGACATACAATGGTCGCTAACATAAAGTCAAAGGTTTCAGAGGTCATACAATGGTTAGTAACATAAAGACAAAGGTTGCAAAGGTCATACAATGGTTGCTAACATAAAGTCAAAGGTTGCCGAGGTCATACAATGGTTGCTAACATAATGTTAAAGGTTGCAGAGGTCATACAATTGTTGCTAACGTAAAGTTAAAGGTTGCAGAGGTCATACAATTGTTGCTAACGTAAAGTTAAAGGTTGCAGAGGTCATACAATGGTCGCTAACATAAAGGCAGAGGTTGCAGAGGTCATACAATGGTTGCGAACATAAAGTCAAAGGTTGCAGAGGACATACAATGGTCGCTAACATAAAGTCAAAGGTTGCAGAGGTAATACAATGGTTGCTAACATAAAGTCAAAGGTTGCAGAGGTCATACAATGGTTGCTAACGTAAATGCAATTTTTGTATTTGTGCCATTGTAGGGTCCTAATAATACCATTGTAGTGTAAATTGAATAGTGACTCCATTGACAAATTATATCTATCTACTGTGTATGTACACCTTACCCAGTTACTAAACAATTATATAAAACCAAGTTACAAGTCTGAATCACCAGTAAAAATGGACATGCCGCACATGTTATGATCAAATGTCATCAGCTTGTAAGCTGTTTCAGCAAAGGATTCAATATTCAATAGTGTGTTATGTTACATTCAGGACAACAGGTGCTATCACGGTAAAAGTAGTTTTCTTATAACGAGATATAATGGACCATATATCAAACTTATACTGCACATTGAAATTCTATACGTCATGCATATTTGTAAGCAAAACTACAAACGTACATAAATAAAGAGATGTTTTGTAATGTTGAATCGTGCTTACTAACAACCAAGGTTACATTTAGAGGGACAAGGTCATTTGAAAATGCTAAGGTGAAACCAGATTCTATTATTGAGTTTCCTGTTATGTAGTGGATTTCTTTGAATATATACTGTAATAAAAACAATGACAATCTATGTAAATGTCTGGTGATAAAATGTTGACAGTAATTGTCTCCAGGAACAAGTGTGACAGATACCACCATGTTTTATAACCATGGAATGTTTGTGCAATATCAAACTCTCCTAGGCATTTTGTGGTGATTGATCAGAAATTGGGGCACTGCTCTCTTCAGTATATATCATTCCCATATATGTATAAACCTATTAGTACAGAATTCAATTTGTCAATCTGTGTATCAAATGGAGGTCTTTTGGCCATCTATAATTACCTCCGATAATGGTGTAAGAAATCAATAGTGTGACCCCTGACCTTTGGCTGGTATTAGCTCTGGGGAACTGGTGGCAGACTGGGCTGCGAACAGATAGGCATCTGTACCGCATGTTATCTGCTTGTATCGTGTCTTCAACACTGCATTGTTGCCGTGTGTTTGTCAATCCAGGACTGAGGTACAAGTGTACAGTGGTTGTATATGTACCGAGGAACATGTCACTGATGTACTCGCAGCTCATCACTCTAACACACATAATTACTTTATCATGTATTTATTTTTTTCTCTCACTTATTTATAGATTTAAAGATTATGTATTAACTCCTGTTAATTTTTATGTGGAAAAAATCATGTATCCTGAACTTAGCCTACAGTCATACATCCTTTACAATGTAAATACCTACTCAGTGTTTGTCATTGATTCATAATACATACTATCCTGTTTAGCTAAAATATCTTTAAATACAAATTAAAGTTCCCCCTAAATAGATTTGGTTTAGATACATAGATGTTTTATTGTTAGATAAGTTTTTTCAGCAGTTAATTTGAAACAAAATAAGGAATGTGAGGTCTATTAATCCTTAATTGTATGTGTAGAGAACGCTGGAGTATTTTAGTGCTAAATACCATCACTGGAAGGTCTGTTGTGTAGTATTAATTGCCAATACATGTATTACTGTACAGGCATCCTGTGGTAACCCATAGTACACATACCTACCAGCAGTCTGTCTCTTTACAGTATGTTTGGATCCCAGTACTTAGGCTTGAGGGTATAAATACTACTGGCAGCATGGTACTTTTTTATGTTAGTACCCACAACCTGTAGTGTACCAAATATACCTGTCCGCTCCAGGGTCCCACTTCTACACACTAGCAGGGCCCACAGCCGCACCACTGCTGCATGTACACGCAGCATGTCAGACCTGCTCTGGTGGAGGGTTATGTAGTCATAACTCTTGATAAGTAACCTGACAGCTTGGATTGGCTCTGATAGGAACTAGAAGTGACTCTAGCATACAATAATGCTAAAAGTCATAATATAATTGAACCTCAAACGCTCCTCAGTCTTCTGTTTGAAAAAAAAAAAAATGTCTTTTTTTTTCTAGAATACAGTAGAATCTTCTTCAGAAGTTCTTTACTGTAAATGTTTCCCTTTAAAGCATAAGTAGATCTCTGTACAATTATGTAGCTGGCCTCCATGTTTATATATATATATCACCAAAAACTTGCGTGTCTGATCTGAATAAATCTTTGAGTAAATGATTATTTTCTTTTTTTTACTCTGAATGTATTTATAAATAAAGTCAAACATTTTTTCTCTTGGTGAGATTGGAGTGGGAGTAGAGCTGGAGACTGTAAGGGTTGCCTCCCCTGACCTATCACTTACCCTGACGGGACGGGTGGCATTGCCTTTTGTATCTGGGGATGCATCCCACTGCCTTTAGAATCGGGCACCCTGTTCTTCTGGTGGCGTAAGAGTAGTAACCGGCCTAGCTCCTCACACCATACTGACAGCATAGCTGCAATGACAGAAAATGGGATTAAATATCATTATTATGATCAACAGGACATTCAAACAGCAACAACATAGCTGCTGGGTGAAAACAGTATTACCACAAAGGGACAGATATAGCAGTGGCAAAAAATATCAGAAGCCAATTTCAAAACTATCAAAAAGGTTATAAAAAATTGTACATAAAAAGGCATTTTCATGAAGTGCAAAATTTGGATAACTATCTCAACCGCACTATTTAAAAGTATTAATGTACAAAATGCATGTTAATTTCCTTATCAATATGCAATTTATTGTCTAAATGTTTCTCTGCCTTTTAATTATCCATTAGGAATTTTAACAAATTGAAAGATGTCTGTAAATTACTCGGAAAAACTAATGCAATCAAATTTACTGTGAATGTCTTTCCATTTTGATTTATAAACGCTACACCAAATAATATTCATATCAATATGATTGAGCTGATGAGCAACAAAAGCTATAGAAAATGTTATTGTTGGCTAGTCAATGCGCTATAAAATATATCGTAGAAATGGAGGCTCACAGCTGTTCTATATTAGACGAGTCCTTTACTGGACAGTGTTGATTATAAAGATACATTACAGAGTCAAATGTAGAGAGAGAAAAACAATAAATAATAGATTTGTTGTGTGTAAGATGTGGTCGGGAAGCTGTGTATCGGCCATGTAAATAGCATCACAATTCTGGGCAAGTCTGCCGTAGTGTTTGGTGACACAGTCCCCGCAAAATCAATGATCTACTTGAAATGTTTTGATTGAGCGAGAAAACCAAATTAAAGACAGGAGAGAGTATTGATCTCCGCAGGTAACCAACAACATGTTACAATAGGACAGGTAACTAATCACCTATATTATACATTGTATTATAACAGGACAGGTAACTGATCACATGTTACAGTCTGACAGGTAACTAATCACATGTTACAATCTGACAGGTAACTAAGCACATGTTCAAACAGGACAGGTAACCAACAACATGTTACAATCTGACAGGTAACTGATCACATGTTACAATCTGACAGGTAACTGATCACATGTTCAAACAGGACAGGTAACCAACAACATGTTACAAAGGGACAGGTAACTAATCACATATACTGTACATTGTATTATAACAGGACAGGTAACTGATCACATGTTACAGTCCGACAGGTAACTAGTCACATGTTACAGTAGGACAGGTAACTGATCACATGTTACAGTAGGACAGGTAACCAACAACATGTTACAAAGGAACAGGTAACTGATCACATATATTGTATAATAACAGGACAGGTAACTAGCCACATGTTTAAACAGGACAGGTAACCAACCATATTTAACAATATTACAGGTAACCAACCACATATTACAGAAGGACAGCTAACCAACAGAATGTTACAATCGGTCAGGTAAACAACCACACGTACAAAAAGCTGTTAATTGCCACAGGTACCGCTAACACAGGAATGCATCAATTAATGATATATTGTGCTTGACAATAATATATGCATCCATTAATAAGTCAATAAATGATGTATCATGTCTGATCATTATGTATGAAAAGGATAATATAGCAGCGGTATTCATTTCATTATTTATATACTGTTGATTCCTTACTTACAGCATTGGTTAATTTTCTTAGTTGATGTTTTGGCAAGCACATATTTCCCCACACAATATTACATAACTTGGTAATATAGGGGATGGGAACTGATAAAGCCTGTCATTCCTTGATCAGGAAGGGACTAGCATTTATTATTGGTAGAGATTTGTGATTCATCATCACATTTCATTTATGTGGAAAAAAAATCAAAAAGAAGTTAATGAATTATATTGACTATAAACTTTGATGCATGTGAAACTGCAAGAGTACATATGACCTACACAAAATTTAATTGCATGAAGTTTGAGAAGTAGGTCATTACGAGTGTCAAAATAGTCTCCATCAGTAGACAAGTAGCAATCCTACATCACAGCCAGTCATAAACACTTGGCAAAGACAACGAATTCCCAGAAAACAATTAGAAGAAATATGAGTTAAAGATAATGAAGAGGTGAAGGTTTTAATTGAGACCTGATGATTTGTTTGTCACACGTTTGGTTCGCTTCCCTATGACTGTCAAAAGGTCCACAGCACTCACTGTATCTGTTGTTTTGCCAAGACAGAGCCATAACAATAAACTAAACATTTATCATAATTGGCCTAAATTAATCTGTTATGTTGGTGTGACCCTGTGCCAATGAGCACTCCCTGTCTAGACGAGGCTCCCTCCAATCTGGGCCAAGCCATGGGTGGTCGAACCTCTTTGCATATATAGCAAGTGATTTTTTTTTTCTTAAAGTTAGAACCAAAGTTTTATTACATTTTCCCCCTTCTGATTCAATAAGCGGGTCTGTAAGAATTCTGGCCTGGTTAATTCGTAGATGTTAACTAAGTATCATACAACAACATTCCACAGATGAGAGCTATTTGTATCCAGTACCAGCATACATGATGTGATGTGAAATGCTTGGATTGTCTAATTCATTTCACCATCTGTGTAGCTATATATCCGGATCACACTCAGAGAGCTATCTACTGCTAACAATGTAATCTGTTGCTGCCAGTATACAGTCTACGGGCCATCCGAGTTAATATTAGCATAGTTTATGAAAGCCATATGAACAGGGTCATTCGGAGTACAAGTTACAACTGGGTAGGTTTTGTCCCTCCCTGTTAGCTCGCTGGCAAAGTGAGCCCCTATTTAATTTAGGGTTCTGGTTACGATGCCCCACTTTGTGAAGATAAAAAAAAATTGTACAACAGAAAATACCTCTTACCGACATATAGTAGCTTATGTACATTGTATAAACAAGCACATATAGCCTATTGATTTTGTCTCGATGTTTAACCCTTTATAACTATTGTCTGTTTTGACAGAAAACGCAGATCCCAAAGCACTGTGTCAATTTCCCAGTAATAATCTGGGCTGTTGGGATAATGGAGGCTTTTATTGATTTTAAGTTCCTCAAAATTACATGCAAGCAGGACTCAATCTGTCACTCTCCAATATGGTAAAGAACTTAACTACATTTGCACAAATAAAATCACATCCTTTATCCACAATAGTCACTTCCTCTAAACCCTGACTGGTAAGCTTGACCACAAGTAATCTTGCTTTACCTGAAGGTCAGTAGAGTAAATCTAACTTCTAACTGCCTTGGTAATAAAAGAAAATAAATGGACCAAAAAGAAATCTTCTGTTAGCCTTTATTAACACAAGGTCATTAAACCTAAACTTTTTTTTCTATTAGCCTTTATTAACACAAGGTCATTAAACTTAAACTTTACTTCTATTAGCCTTTATTAACACATTAAAACTTAACTTCTATTAGCCTTTATTAACATAAGGTCATTAAACTTCAACTTAACTTCTATTAGCCTTTATTAATACTGCCTGAGAAACAGTTTCAATGTTTTGGGTCAAAGTATTTTTTTTTATCACAGTGACCTACTTTTGGAGAGGAACAAATGACTTGCACATCTTGATCCTAATAACTAATACATAAGAAATCAAAACATATTGACAATCCAAATATGTGGGTTCTCAGCTGGCAAATATGGTAATCCGTCAATTTTGAAATTATACTCATTAGTGAAAGCCTTGAAACAGAATGATATAACTTGATTGTAAATGCTGCTTTCCTCATTTTGGACTCCAATCAATATTTTCACCTGTACTGACAACTGCTATCTACCTGTTTTTTACCAAAATGCCAGCTACACAAATTATGTAATTCTTTTATCTCATTATCGGTAATTATGTTCAACTTCAAAGCTCACTGCCATTTCTGTAACTTGGTAAATGTTTTCCATTTCTTTAGATGCCAGAACCTTTTTTATGCGACTAATGAATTATCCATTTAATTGACTTTCCTACCCGTCAATTAATACAGACTTCAGGTATATCCTTATAACGAGTACTCGGGCATATATTTACAGCTCAGTTATTTCTGGAAACATTGACAATTAAAATGGTCTGTATCTTTGGAACATGTATATTCCTGCCTTTATTCTGCCTGTGTCATTTGAGGTTGCAATGGCAGATGTATGAAATCTACCCTGAATCACACAGCCTGAACTACACAAACCTTTTAATTATTCATTGCTACAGCATCATATGAGTGATCTTCAGTCGTTACGCAGGAAAATGTAAATTAAAAAATCTAACAGAAGCTGTTAATGATTTGTGTATAGCACAGTAACTAAAAGGACGCATTGCTGATGTCTTAATGAAATAAAAACCAGTGTGTTACTACATAGCACGTACCGGTCACCAGTCTATTTCTCAAACAATTTTATATAATATAAATTGTATTTGCATCCTGAAGAATTTGTAAGTCTTTAAGAATCATTTACCGGTGGTACTCTTATTGGTGTTTGTGCTAAATTTAAACCTGTATTCAAGTAGCAAAATTTCAAGTTTGAACCCAAAAGATGATATCTCTATAGGGCGTTTTCATTTTATTAATATCTTTGATACATGCTCAACTAAAATCGAGATCATCAGCACCCCAGCCTTCACAAATGTAAGTAGCCTTATATTCTGAATTTAATTATACTCTCTTTAGTGCGCTGTTGATTAACACATATCAAAAGTTAATAATTTTATAACAGATTTCATTTATAAATTCTTATTTCTGGAGAATTCTTAACAATTTACATTTTTATAAATTTGAAATATAGAATATTTATGTTTCCTCCCAAATTTTACTTTTTTATCTTTTACCATTATATGTATATAATTCAAGTTTAAATTCTTGTTGATTTGATAAAGCCTGACTTAGCTGATCCCTGAAATGCTAGATATATGGCCTCAACCTAGCTACACCTACCGTATTGTGTTCATTTCTAGTACCTGTTTAATTCTTTCAATTATGTTTTAAAAGTTTAACTGACATCACTCTTATATAGACAATGGTGAACAGCAATATCAGGCAGAGCCCATCATTTTAATTTTCTGTA